CCCCCCCCGCCTTTTTTTTGAGACATAGTCTCACTAAGTCACTGAATTGCCTAGGCTGGGCCTGAAATTTCAATCCTTTTGCCTCAGCCTCTCACAATGCTGGGATTACAGGCAATCATATGAGTCACCACACCCAGCTCATCTGTCTTTTTCTTTTTAATGATCTTTTTCTTTGTTTTTTTGTTTATTTGTTTGTTTGTTTTTTGAGACAGGGTCTCACTGTGTAGCTCAGGCTGGCCTTGAACTCACTATATAGCCCAGGCTGGCCTTGAACTTCCAGGGATCCTCCTGCCTCTGCCTCCTGAGTGTTAGGATTACAGATGTGCACCACCACACCCAGCTATGTGTCTTTTTTAGTGAAGTGTCTATTAAGGCCTTTAGCCTATTTTTTAATTGGTTGTTTGTTTTCATATTGTTGTGTTCAGTAGATTTTGTATATTTTACATAATAGTCCTTTATCAAATTTGTCTTTTGTAAATATTTTTCTCAGTCTATGGCTTATCTTCTGATTCTCCTGTCATTATCTTTCACCAAACAGAAGTTTTAAATTTTAATGAAATCCAGCAATTTATCAATTCTTTTTCATAGTTTGTTCATTTGGTATTGTATCAACAAAGTCATCATATATCCCAGGTCATCTAAGTTTTCTTCTATGTTACCTTCTAGGAGTTTTATAGTTCTTGCGTTTTACATTTAGATAGATAAAATATCCATTTTAAGTTTATTTTTGTATTAGCTCTGTATCTAGAATCTTTTTTTGCCTACGAATGTCCAATTGTTCCAGCACCACCATCTGTTGAAAAGACTATCTGCTGCACAGTATACCCTTTCCTCTTTTGTTAAAGATCAGGTAACCATATTTATGTGGGTGTTTCTAGGCTCTCTTCAGTTCCATTGATCTGTTTGCCTATTTTTTTCACCAGTAACACACTGTGTAAATTACTATATCTTTATAGCAAATCTTAAAGTTGAGTGGTGTCAGACTTCTAACTTAGTTCTTCTTTAACATGGTGGGTATTTTGTGTCTCTAAACTTTAGAGTCTGTTTGTCAATACCCCAAAAATAACATTGGAATTTTGATTGGGATCACAATAAATCTATAGATCAAGTTGAAGGGAACTGACATCTTGACAGTTTTGAGTCTTTCTATCCATGAATGTCTGTCCATTTATTTATTTACTTCTTTTATTTCTTCAGAGTTTTATAGTTTTGGTCATGTAGATCTTGTTCATATTCATATTTAATTTTAGACTATGTCATTTTTCATTTTTTGTGGTAATATAAATGGAGCAGTGTTTTAAATTTTAAATGTCACTTGTTCTTTGCTGATATATAGGAAAGCAATTAACCTTTGTATATTAGCATCATATTCTGTAACCTTGATATAATTTTTTATTAGTTCCAAGAGTTTCATTTCCATGACTTTTTTTTGAGGGGAAGGGATTGGGTTTCATGCATAGGTAACCATGTCATCTCTGAATAAGGATAGTTTTATTTATTTCTTCCCAGTCTGTATACCATTTATTTTATTTCCTTTTTTTCAAATTATTACATTAACTAAGATTATGCATGATGTTGAAAAGGAGTTAGGGAGGGAGCAGCTCCAACACAAGCAAACAGACCACTTTTGTGTGGTACAACTATCCACTAACTCCAAACCTGGACAGCAGGGGATCAGATTAACTGCTGACCTGATCCTGGATGAGGACAATGCCCTGGGAGAGAAGGTAAGCCCAGAGGACCAGCAGACCCAGGGAGAACTTCAAGGACTCCAGTGTTACCCTCCCAAAGTGACTGAGTAGGAGACAACCACAAGAGACCACTATGGTGAGGGATTGGGCCAGACATAGACCCCCCTCCCCGAGAAGTATAAACTTAGGCTGGGAAGGGAACAGGCCCTGCCCTCCTTAGGGAGCAACCACACCCCATGAGTGTTGATTCCAAATCCAACAGTCTATTTGAACTCTTGCCCTGTGGCCTATATCCAGCAGAGACCAGAGGGTTGATTGCTTTTCTCATCTACCAACGTAAGCAAGCACATGTCTTGGCTTGGACAGCAACCAGTCTGGGGTGAATGGACAGGGAGACCTCTGGTGTAGGGAGGGCACCTCAAATAGCCATAGGCCCTAAAGCTAGGTAGAGAAAATCATGACTGGCTGGCAGATCCTGGAAAGAAACAACTAGTTCAAAACACGGAATTTTTTCTTTGACTTAATCGTTTAAAAAGTTTTTCTATTTTTTTATTACTTCTCGTCCTTTTGGCTAAGATCAAGTGTAAAAACTTTTTCTATTTTTAATTATTTTTCTCTTTCCCTCATCAGTGTTTTTGGGAAGCTTGGACTCTTTTTTTCTTTTTTCTTTTCTTTTGAGACAGAGTGTTGCTATGTAGTTCAGGCCGGACTCAAACTACCTATGTAGCCGAGGCTAGCCTCCAACTCACCGAAATCCTCTTGCCTCAGAGTGTGCCACCAAGCCCTGAGACTTGGACTATTTTAATCCCATTTTTGCCTTTTTTTTTTCCTCTTTAATTTCTCTTCTCTTTTTTTCCTTTTTCCCCTTTCAACTTTCTCTGCCTTTTCTTTCATTTCCTATATTTTGCTCTTTGTTTTTCTCTTAGCTTCTTTTTCTTGTATTTCTTTCCTGTGACTGTTTTCTAACATTATTAATTTCTTTTTACTCCTCAATATAATCCTATCTCACCTTTTTCTCCTCCATCTCATATCCCATTGATTAATTTTTCAAATTTTGCATTTTTCATTCTCTGGCTCCCTATCCCCTCTACCTTTATTAGTATAACTATTAAGCTTTATGAATCTCTAGATAGTAGTTAATTTTATGCTATTACTGTTGAATACTGTTTATTATTAGTGGAAGTAAAGTCTATTAGGTATCTACTTTAGGTCAATAGTAGATTAATATTTGGTTTGTCTCAGTGTTCATGCTATAATTATACCCCATGTTTCTTCACAAATAAGATCTAACTAGAAAATAATCAGCCTTGAAAACTAGAGATTGAAAATGCCAACCCCATCACCCTATCCTTGCCGTACCTGCCATCACTGTTCTCTTGCTTGGTGACTACTCTGCAAGACAGATAAGGCAAGGATAGGCTGGTTGAAGCTGGCATTTTTGATCTCTAGTTTTTTTGTTTTTTGGGTTTTGGTTTTTGGTACTGGGGATGGAACTCAGGACCTAGTGACTGCAAGGCAGACGGTGGTACCACTGAGCTAAATCCTCAGCCCCTTGATCTCTAGTATTTAAGGCTGATTATTTTCCAACTAGGTTTTATTTGGAGGGAAAGAGTATAGCTCTCTTTTCTATGTTTAAGGGTGGTACATTATTGATCCTTAGGGTTTGTTAATATTTAGCTTGTCTTTGATATTATTACTGTTGCTGACTTTATTACTATAGCCAAAGTGACAGAGTTGTTGCTATTAATTGGTTTTCTTGTGATGCCAATACCTGGATTGCCTCGGGGTGACTAATAATACTATGGTTCATACCTGGAGAACTGGGTGCTGGGTCAAATACACTGCAACCTTTCTTGCCAACTAAACAGAGGTGATTGGATCCTAGGACAGGGGCAAAGGCCAACAGTTAGCCATGCCAAGAGGGCAACACTGAAAAGCAGACATTAATTAAAGAGGCCTCCTCCAAACTAGCAACAAATCTAGCCACTATAACCAACCTGCAAGTTTCAACACACAAAAACAATGAAACAAATAGAAACACAAGAAGACAAACCAATAAAATGCCTCCCAAAGCTGATCCATGGGCCATCAAAAGGGAGGAAACCAAAAGCCACACAGCTAAATTATTACAGCAGCTACTTGAAAAAAAATTACAGCAATTACTTGAAAAAGAAACAGATGAGATAAGAAAACAGGTCAAGGGCCGGGGATTTAGCTCAGTGGTTCCGCCTGCCTCACAGGAAAGCACA